CCTTTTCCCCCTCTCTCAATTCAATATATTTCTCCCATTTCAAGTAGCATCGATCGAGCACGCGCAAACGGCGGAGTCGAAAAAATACAGCCGGGTTTAATTTCGTACAGCCGGACCGACCGAACACGACGTTAACAAAGCAGCGAGCCGGAGCGAGAGGGAAGATCAGAGGGACGAGACTTCGAGGACGTGCGAACGCGAAATAGATAAAACGATGAGTAATAATGCTAAACAATGGTTAACTGTTAAGTTTAACATAACATATACAGGCGCAGATATAGAGTGGCGAAGCACTAGCAGACAGCCTCGGTGTAAACCGTCCAAAAATAACCATACAGCTACGTTCCGCTGACGCTGCGCCTTCAGGATTGGCTGGTATTGCTGGTACAGCTGGTATAGCGACGGTGCTGCCACCGAGAGTTGCGGCCGCCTCGAGCAACTCAGGCGAGGAATCGAATGCATCCGTTAAACTAGCCGCACTTGTCCATACTGCGTCTTCGTAGCCGCAGGAAGCCGTTACGGGTCCTCTGAAAATTTATCGTCGTTTACGTTCACCTTTTTCCCTAGCTAAATTTTCCTTCGATTCCCAAAAGTGGGCGGGTACCCTATAGAATCTCGGGTTCGGGCTAGATCGGGAACGCTCGTTCGCGCTCGTGTTTATTTCCGATTATACCGTGTTATACCGGGCAGACGTATTGTATCGCATAACGCATCGGCGCTTACGTTAATTGCGTAACGATTACATGTGCGGTACCGTGGCAAATAGCTTATCGAGAACTGACTATTGGTTTTCCGTAATTTCTTGTTTTTGTTTTTTGCTTTTTCCCCCAATACTGATTCCACGTGAGAATTTTTCTACATTGTTTCACACAAATTTTTCCATTCGAATTATGTAATATTGACACTAGTCGATACACATCTGTTACCTTCGTACGAACGTAGTACAAATATTTCAGTGATGGGAATGTACGATGGGAATCGGCTGATCGTAAAATTTCAGAAAAAAACACATTTTTTCGAATTATTTAATCCGATATTAATTCCACGTAATTATACGTGCCGGTAGTTAACTTTCTCAAATATCCGTCCGACCACTCTTTCTCCCACGTGCGGGAATAATATCGTAAAATCCTCGCGGATGAAGAGAGAGAGTAAGAAAATAAAAGGAAAGGATATCGAAAGGGTGAGGGAGAGAGAAAAAACATAAAGCCTAATCGCCCAGAGTAATTCCTGAAAGTGGGCGCCAGGCGTCCTTGGCCGTCTCGACGATCGCCTCAATCCTGTTCTCCTTTACGATCGTCCAAGTCGGACGTCATCGGGGTCCTCAAATAACGGCGACCAATGAATGAATTATCACGATACAAGATACCAAGATACAATAAAGAGCCCTATATCGTATACACAAACATCCCACTATAGTATAGATATAGGATGCTAGTGAGTCAATAGATAAAGATTAAAGATAGTCGATCGCGATAGGACAGAGACCTTTGACAATATGCAATAAAGAATACTCCTCGCACAACCCTTATCGGTCTAACCTAACCTATTGTTTCTAAATACTAACACACACGGAAATCCCACCGCACGTGAAACTCGTCCGTAAGTCCTCGGGGACTTTATTATTATATACTTGAACTTTAACTATGTATATATATATATATATATCTTACTTACCTTGTTTTTAATATACTTTAGTATATGCCAGTAATAGCACCCTTCCTATACCTATATATATATATATCTCTAAGCCACATAGTACTAGGCTACGTATGGAGACCTGCAGGGTAAACCATGTGTGCATATATATATATATATATATATAGTATTTACCATCGACGATGCATCGCACTAGAAACGAAATGGGGTCGAAGCTTCCCTTGTTGTAGCACGAGAAATAACTAAATAAAGCTTGCGCTACCTTCGCTTGTCTTACCTACCCATCTTGCATATCTACTCGTCCTGTACGCATATATGCCATTCAGATGTCTCTGTACATGGGACATGTGCACATAGGTGATTTTCCACAGACGACTAGTTTCTGCATTTTGAGATGGATAAATGAAACTGGAAAGGACGTTTCCGTGCGATGGATATTTCGATAAGTTTTTTCTGTATATATTTTTTTTACGCTAGATGTCACTCACTGTATTCGTTTGGGCCTTTTTGAACGTGGTGAATTCTGGCCACGTGGCCAGTGCAGGTTAGGTTAGCTATCGTATGGTGGCCTAGCCTGAATGGAATTCGTTGTGCTGCTAGGTGTTTGGATTATCTTAGTTTTTTTAGGATACCATGATAACGGAAGTAACTGTGAAATTTTGTAGTTCAACGAGTTTTTCTAGGATCATTTTGATACTTTATCTAACGTCCTTGTAGGAACGGACCACAATATAAAAGTTTTCTACTAGATTCGTCTGGATACAGTAATCGCAATATTCTCAAAACAATTGAGCGAGATGGACGTGCAGTTGCAATATAAATAATACGTGTATATATATACATATAGAGATGAGTGAAACTGAATTTCACAGACGTAACAGGAAGTCCAATCAAATGGAAGTTAGAAGAAGCTCGGTAAATAAATTGAACGTTATGGACATTTATTTTTCTATCCGTATGTACTCGATCGGTCAATGCTCTCTTATCGGATAAAAATATACAAGTTCAACGTCTCCTCAAGGATCAGTGCGAGGGCAAAATCTCACGTTTTATTTATATATCTCATTTCATTCTTTTCCATATGATGTCCACACGTAGTATGGACGTACAGTACGGTACACAGTCTATGGTAAATATTCAGCCCACATCATATGCATCATATGCAAGGTAGTCGATAAGAGAATTTCTAAAAATTTGTCCACCTCGTGAAAAAATATTAATAATTTAATAAAAATTGAAAATTCAAACCTATTTCTCGGAATAAGAAACCGCACAGAATTCCTAGACGTTACGGCGGAGTCTCGACCAGGAACGTACCAACCGCTCGCGTCACCTGGTTCTGCTGTCCAATCAAGCAAGACCACATTCTCTAGGCGCTATTTTTACAGTAGACACGTGGGACGAAATAGTGGAACGCAAACCCGCCCATGAAAAAATGTATATCGGCTATATTGCGGCTGAAATCCCCGCGGGATAAGACTGGGAGATGAAAGAAAAGCGGGAATACAAAAAATGAAAAAAAAGGGTCAAGAAGCTTAAAAATTGGAAATAATTTCTTTCACAGCCGTCTAATATCGTTACACTTAATTTACGTAAGAATAAAATCCTTGGGGACCTACTGTTCTCAATTACAATGGTAACAGCCATGAGTTGTCACACGTGATTATTCAAGGCCGACTAATCACGGATTAATTTTATTTTGTTTAGGTTATATTTCAAAACGTGTAACGCACATGATTTTTTCTTCTTCTTATTTACGACTAGAGCTCTTCAAATTTATAAGCGTTTTTCCGGCTTCGTGCACGTCACTACGTATCTTGGTGACCTTGCGAAACTATCGTAATTGCCATTTACGTATAGACGCATGCGCAGATAATCGTGCGTGCGTAAATATATATATGTCATCCATACGTAATACAAACAAACGTGAGAATTTGCTCACAGCAATTAATGCGGAAATAGTGGTTTACATATGTTAATTTAAAAATATCTAATTATTGTATTGTTTTGGCAATTTTAAGGATGTACAGAAGTATATTTATAATATAGTAAGTGAAATTTTGAATAAATATATTTTAAGTTGCCTCTCCAAACGGGACTTGATTTTGCTTTGTTTCATTTTCCATTCTACCGGCAGTGTATGTACATTTTGGTATATTCATGCGGTATGTCTTCTTATACATGTGCTATGTACAGGCAGCTACGGATCATGTGTTATGTACGCCAATTAACTTGAATGTAATTACTGGTAACTTCTAATGGAACTTTTGGATTATCCAAAAACGCGTTAGCAACATTTGCTCGCGGCTGCACAGCCTCCATTGGCAGCCAGAAGCTCAGAAGCGTGTTCATCTAATTTTAATCACAAACTAGTTGCGATATTGTGCCTGACTCCGACGCCTGACTTCGCGCGACCAACGACGCCGGCGTCGGTTGGCCGACCGAGCGCCAAACTTAATTCACGCTTTGCCGGGAATTAAACGACGC